CTGGTCAGGTAAGTCTTTCCTTCAGAGCATTTGTTTGAGATTGGGACGCCTTCGGGTAGGCAGGTATGCGGGGTGCTAAAAAGCACGTCAGGTATCTATTTAGGTAGGCAGGCACGACGCAGATGTGCCAAAAGCACGTATCTGCCAGACGGTGGACATTTGATTGGCACAGCAAATGATCAACACCTTGAGCCCTTTCGTGCGTCATGCCTGCCTTGGTATCTGAATCGTTGGTCAACTTGATGTTCCAAGAGACTTTGCTGCACCTCCCAGTCAAGTGTCGCGCCAGAGTTGCTAATGCACAAGATTTTATCTGCTCTACAGAATCTACTAGAAGAGGATGACGCGGACAACGACTGGGATTCGACATTGGGAAATGATACCGCGAGCTCGACTGCTTCGATTAGCTCGAGTATCCTCGAGTATCGCACCATCAACGGCCGAACTTACCACAGTGATTCCGTGACCGATACATCGTACTGGTGAGTGATACCTTGGAAATTTGAAGAAGACATTGAAAACCAACGACCGCTGTGATCCAGGGGCCCCAATGATCAGAAGCAGAACGAGTTGCTGGATATCTTATGAGTGAGACAAGGCTTGAAAAGTGCTAGTGATCGACCCTTGGCTTACTTTTTCTCTTTTCTAGTCATCATACGATGATCATTGCCTTGGATGGCGATCTCTTCAAGGCGTCCATTACGGAGGATCCCAAGAATGCTCTTAAATTTGGCACAGGCACAGGTAAGCCAGCTTGCTCCATTACCTTGGAGGAAATCAATTCAAAAAATTGGAAACGTCGGAACTGGTGCGGCGTGAAGGGTTATGGGCAATCGATTTTGCCGATAAATATCCGGATTGCAGTGTGGTTGGCACCGACATATCCCTGATTCAACCCACCTGGGTGCCTCCCAACTTACGGTCCGAAGTCAACGATTATAACAAGGAATGGACATACAAAGCTAATTTTTTCGACTTCGTCCATATTCGCTAGCTCACCGGTACGGTTAAGGACTGACATACTCTATACAAGGAGGCCTACCGCTGTTGCAAACCGGGCGGTTGGATTGAGCATATAGATGCATCTGGTACTGTTTTATCAGACGACGGTACAGTAGAGAAGGATATGGCTATGGGCCAATGGGGTAAGATCTGGCAGGAAGCTGGAAGACGGCTGGGGACTCCGCTCGATGTTTTCGACCAGAATATTCAGGAAGAGGGTTTGAAGGAGGTCGGCTTCGTGAATATTTCGAAAAAGACCTACCCGGTGAGTGTTGCGTTCCATGACAGATTCAGCAAAACAGGCACCTATGGTCACCCGCCCGAACATGCATTTAAAGATGTGGCATGAGACTGATCAAACAAAACAAAATACCCAGGTTCCTCTGTCGCCATGGCCTAAAGACAAGAAGTTGAGAGATGTCGGTCTCTACTTTTACGGTGTCTTGAATCAAGATCTCGAGGACGCCACCCAGTTCATCTTCGGCAATGTTTTGGGTTGGACTAAGGAGGAGATTTCCACCTACTGTTCTCACCTCAAGGCCGAGATCAAGAACCTGAATATACATGGGTACTTCCCGTACCGCATGGTGTACGCGCAGAAGCCGTACGATGCTTGAGCTTTGAGCTCCGACTGAGCAAGATGACCAACCGGAGCTGGTTGTTCTTCAAAAATGGGCGGTTGGAATGGAACATGATTCATCATGCGCTTCGGATGAAATGGATGACATATTTCTATTCAGAAACTTATGGGATAGATGGCTGGACGTGGATGAGATCTGTCTGGCACCGCCATGTCAACATGCGTGATAGTTGAATCCTCGGGGGACCCTCGCAGTTGTGTAGCAGGGCAGATCCCAGACTATGGGGATGCCTTCAGCCTTACCCGGCCCTGCCAAGATTCCATTGAACGTGATTAAGCTCAAGGATGTCTGAAAGTGTCTCTCCGGCCAAAACAGAGGGCAGGAGATGAGAGCGGTTTCTGGAGGATTTTGCACAATGTTCGTTACGGCAAAGTTTGGCAGTCGCGGACACGATTGTTTCTATCATTGGTCAACTTCAGTTCACACAGTCAATTTAGCCGGCAAAGTCACACATCGGCCCCATTATCCTCTTTTTGGTTAGCCGCCGCCGTTATATCATACACTGTGCAGAAGACGTCCTTCCTTTTTCTAGTACTACACTATTGCAGTTGCGCGGTGAGGGGTAGGTTGGTGGTTTCGTCTGTCACATTTGACAGCACGGGTACCTCATCCTATAAATCGGACGACGCTGGCACATCCACATCACTTCATGTTCTCGGCCATTTCCTCTTTTTCACCCAAACCCAAAA